GCCGCCGCCGCCGCCGGGGGCCGGCCAGCCCAGGCCCCGCTTCAGCATGGAGATAGAAAAAGAGTTCCACCGGCTCGACCAGGCCGACAGCTGGGCCGCCATCTACCAGGTAAGGCGAGCCGAGCACGACCTGCAGCCGGCCAGCAAGCGCCGGGGCCTGGCGAAGGCGCGCGCGGTGCGTTAAGTGCGGGCCAGCCGGCGAGCGCCTTTCTCCTGCTTCTTCTCTTCCCTTCCCTTCCTTTCCTCCTTGTTGCCCTCCTATTGTCCCCGCTTGGGAGGCGACCCCTTCCTTCTGCCCGCCCTCCTTCCCTCCCGCCTGCCTTCGAGGCTCGCTCTCTTTGCCTTCAGGGGGCTCCTCGGAAAAAGCTTTGCTCTTCCTTCCTTCTTTCCTTGCTTGCTGCTTCTCCTTTCCTCTCCTTGCCATGCCCCGTGTTTTAATCGGGCTGGGCATGAGGGCACCCCGGCGCCTTCCCTCCCTGACATGTCTCCGCGTTGTGCAACTCCACATTTGGAGGGAAGTAAAAGCGCCGGGCCTCTTGGAGCCCAGCAAAGGTGTCCGGAACCTCCCCACAGGCCAGGAGGGTGCCTGCTTTGGCATAGGAGACATTATGGAATTGAATTGTATGCTGGCTGGATATATATTTCATGCCCTTAAGATACCCTTCCCCGTTAGAAGAGATCATATATATAGTGTATATGATTTCTTCTAACGGGGAAGGGTATCTTAAGGGCATGAGACCTCATGTACATCCTTAAACGTATAGTCGATGTGCTTCAATTCTTAAACTTATACTGTAGTGGATTTGCTCGAATGATGAGCAAATTGTTATTCTTACTGTTTTCCTGTGTCAGGAGTGTAAGAGAGGGAAGTCTGTTGTGGATTATTTTTATTTTTATTTTTTGCAGCTCCTTCTCTGAGAAATTCTGCCCCCCCCCCAAGCCTGCTCCCAACCCATCGAAAAGGGTCCTGGAACAATGGTTTCTTGTAAGCATGTATCTAGTAAGCATGGTTGAGATAACTTATCAGTGACTGCTTCCCTAATTAATTTCTCCTTGTTTCCCCTGAAGCACATATATTAGTGATCAATATAGCCATCTCATTTTGCCTCAGGAAGCGGTAATCTTAATAATCTCTCCTTTTTTTTCCTGAAGGAGAGTGTGATACTCTAGGGTTTAGGAGCAAATGCCCTTTTGTATGTCTGATCCTTCATTTTTCTCCAACTGCAAACAGATTCTTCTTGGGATTGCTGCTTGTTAACTTCTGAATTCTCAGTTCTTCAAAAGTATTTTGTTTCACCTTTGAATCTTAATGTGGACCCCTATTCTGTTTTTCTAAAAGGTTTAGAAGCCATGTGGGTATTGTGGCACCTGAACAATGTTTGTATTTTGGGAGAACATATTTTGTGGTATGTTTTTGAAATCAGGTGTTTTTTTTGCTAGAGCATCTGTCAGAAACAGTGCCCTTTACCAAGGTAATATGCATATGCACATGCTAGATAAAATACAAGAGTAGTGCAGTTCACACATATATCTAGTCTGACACACTAACTGGTGTTATTATGAGAAGTCTTTTAAAATATTAATATTCCGGCTTGTACTAATTTTGCTGTCTAGGTTTTTGTTGAATAGACAACATGAAGGGCAGGGGTGGTGTAGCCTTCAGTCCTCTAATGGGTATCTCTTTTTGGTGCAGAGTTTAGCAGATCTATTTTAATGGATATTAAACTGACGGTGTTTTAGTTCATATCCTGCCAGGCTAAATCAATATATGACTGTTCTTTCTGTAGGGGAAGTGAATGAATATATCCCTTGCCATAAGGATTTTGGAAGGCGGAAAAGTTGTGAAATCAGTTCCTTTTTTTGATGATGGTATGTGATTGGAAAAAGATCTTTGACAGAAATTGAATGGAATAATGCTTGGACCATCACATCTGAAATCATGCCTGTAGCTCTCTGCAGACTAACATGGTCTGAAGCTCTTCATGTTCAATGGGATTTGGTACAAGTAACTGCAAATGGGATTATGCAATAAGTAAAATAGAGATTTGGGACTCTTGTGTGTTACACATAGGATCTGTTCTTGTGGGGTTTTTTTAATGTTCCTGAGTGCAGGTTGCATTATTCAAAGTGAGGGTAATAGGTTCTGTTGACATTTATCTCACTCTCTCCTTGAAATGCTAGCTGGTAAATGTACAATGCTTAGAAAGTGATCTTGAAAAGTATATTACACCAGCATAACTGTTGCTCTCACTTCAATTTAATTTTGTCCTCTCAACACAGCTGTACTGAATAATAGTGTATGGATGGTGAATTACCTCACCGAAAGTTTAAAAAAAGTCAAGGAGGCTGCTCTTGTGCGTTAGCATGTGCTTTGCATAATATCGCTTCCTAATGTGCTGGCACTATATAGTATTTGTGAACATTTTGCAAATAGAAGCACAGTAGATGTTTTAGGGAAGTACTGTAGATCGTATAATCTTTCAAAATGTGTATTTTCCACAATTTCAACCTCAAGTTCATGTGAGGTCACTAAAAGACGTAGGTATCCCTTTGGCCATGTAGAAGTGTGTCGGCATTTTCTTTCTCTAGTGGGCATGATGCTGAAAATAATGTTTATGTATTTACTGACTTATTTACTTACATATTTACTTCTAAACTACACTGCCAGGCAATGTAGAGCTGTCAAATATGACGTACACCATAGAGCAGAGCTGCTTTGCATTGTCACCTAAACACTCCTCTCCTCTTCCATCCCGCAACTTGTCCAGAATTGTACATTTGTTGGGATATCTAAACACTCCTCTCCTCTTCCTCCTTGTCCAGAATTGTACATTTGTTGGGATAAACCAAACATCACAGAAATTTTGAAAAGCTAAATCCAGTTTGTTAATCCCAACTCCAGTAGACCTGCTGAATGAATGGGACTTACTAAATCAGAACTCATGCAAGTCCTGTTGATTCAGTGGGTCTAGATTAGGACTAACAATTGGATTTAGCCAGAAATAGCTACATTTGATAGAGGTGGAAGTATAAATTTTTTATGCTATTTTATGCTGTTAGTCGCCTAGAGTGGTCTTAACCGACCAGATAGACGGGATATAAATAAAATAAATAAATAAATAAATAAATAAATAAATAATGTACTTGTACTGATGTTTGTTTTCAAAGCTACCATCTGTGGGTTGCCCCACTTCAGATACCTTACCCAATCAATTGCAGAATGTACTTGTACTGATGTTTGTTGTCAAAGCTACCATCTGTGGGTTGCTCCACTTCAGATACCTTACCCAATCAATTGTTCCAGAAAAACTGCTGCTGCGGCTTGCAAACTTTTCATCTACGGTTGCATCTCCTTGCTAAGGTCTCCATAGCTTCAGCTTCTCTACAGAAGACTTCACTAATTCTTACTGAGGTATGAGCCTCTCTCCTAGTCACTGTGCTGCCCGTCTAGATGGGCAGTTTTTAAGTGTTCAGTGAGCTACTTTTACAGACAGGGCCATGGTCCCTGTTAGTCCAAAGAGTAGACTAGGAACCAGTGGCATTGATAGTTAAGTCAACTGCTTTTGCACAGTGACCCATTGGTGTTTCTTTCTCTCCACTTCTGGTTTAGCAGGAAAGCATGAAAGCAGCCTTGATAGAGGCTGCTGTTTGAACATGATTTTGTCTATCTGTAAATCCTCTTTGGCAGGCATTGTTTCATTAGCTGTTGGCTCTCTTTTTTGGTACAGAATCTAACTTGCTGTTGGCATTATAGTCTTATTAATATAGAAAGCTCCTTTTCTGTTGTGAATTATATGATACTCAAGTGTTCCATGAGAATGGTGTTGTCACCATTTTCGAAAGAATGGAATAAAGGAATATGCCTTCAGCCAACCGCTCCTTGTCTTCCTAGGCAAGAAACTTTAATCTTGGGAAATGTGTGGTCCTCCAGAGATTCAGGGGCTGGCAACTACCCTCAGCCTTAGGCAGCTTAACCTTTGGAGGAAAATGATGGAAATTGCAGTCCAATAACATCTGGATTGTTTCCCATTGTCCATCCCTGCTTTAATCAAAAACTGCTTTATCTTTAGGGCGATGAGGAAGATTTGTAATTCTACACTGTGCCCTAGATCCAGGACAATGCCAGCATAATACAGTTTTCTTTCTCTGCAGCCGTTTATGCCATCTGAAAACTGGCTGTATAGAGTTTCCCTGTCCTCCAGAGCAGTGGTCCCCAACCTTGGGCCTCCAGATGTTCTTGGACTTCAACTCCCAGAAATCCTGGCCAGCAGAGGTGGTGGTAAAGGCTTCTGGGAGTTGTGGTCCAAGAACATCTGGAGGCCCAAGGTTGGGGACCACTGCTCCAGAGCATAGGTACCTATGGTGGGGAAGGGGAAACTTTCCCCTCTCAATTCCACTAGTGGAAATGATGCCTTCAGTGGATAACCCCTGAAGGCTTCTATGTGAAATGCCATAATTTTTTCTTGTGATTTTTCTTTTGTGTTTCCATTAAAAACAGTCTTATCACTAGTTTCCAGAGTCTAAGAGTAGTGTATTTGTTGCTTGGTTTGTCATGGAGTTCAAGCCTCACCTTTTCACAGAACCTTGAATGGAACTTTGAATTTAACCTAGGGTGTCATTGGTGACAGGTTTGAGTATATATGCAACATACCTGTTCTGCTCCAGCACTGAACGTCAGTAGTTGTGAATACCTACGAGCAAGGCACTAAATATTCAGCCCCAAGATTACCCTTACCACTCAAAAACCCCAGTACAGGTATTACAGTTCTGCCTGCCTGCCTACCTAATACTTTTTTACCCCGCCTTCCTCCTTAAAAGGACCCAAGGCGACGGAGTTTGCAATACATGGATGTACATATGCATACTTTGCCAGAACGTTGTGGGAGTGGGGGTCGGGTGGATATTTACCTTCTGGTTGTCATCTCATTGTGGTGATTCTTATTTGCCAGAAGCTGCCAGCTGAGCCAGCAGTAAAAGAGAGTTACAGGAAATAAATAAATAAATATGGTATCCAATGCAGCATTAGGGTAAGGGTAATCTAATAAAATGGGAATTCCCAGGATCTTGGGGCTCTTAAAAAGAATTCACTTAAGGGTTAGAGGCCCTCAG